CCCGGTGCTTTCCGCCATTTCGGATTATTACCTGCTCTACAACAAAGATATTTATACTTTAAAAATTAAATAGATTCAAAAAGTCAGATTATATGACTGGGTATAGAGGTTGGAACCGGTTTTAATAATGAGGTTTATCACGTGAATTTTGTGATATTTTTGAATTTATTAAAATTTAATTGGATAAAATTCTAAAATATCATAAAATTCACGTGATAAACCCGAATTATTAAAACCGGTTTCAACCTCTAATTGGGTAACGGTAATAATGTATTTACTTAAACAATATAAGATTGAAATTTTATGATAAAAAAAATTTTTTTAAATTATATATTAGTAATAAATATTATCTAATTGCAATTATTGATGAAAGTACTAATTCAATAAAAAAAAAATTTTATCGAAAAATATATTTAAAGTTAGCAGATATTAAAAAAATTTTAATACGTACTAAATAATGAAACCACAAATAACGCAACAAGAAGGATTATGTGATGATGCTATAGAGCTTGAAAAACTTGTATCTCAAATGAAAGAATTAATGGTTGAACGTAAGAAATACAGAATGCTTTATAAAATTGTAATTTATGAATAATAAAATTTTTAAAAATCGATAGATGTAAACAATAGTCGAAAACCTGGTGCATTAGTCTTAGATTATAAATCACCAAAAGAATTAAAGCAGATAATGGATTTAGAACTAGGATATGATGGTATTGGAGTTGAAGGTACTCGACTCATTAATCCGATTTCTTACCTGCTCATAAATCAAAACTAATATATCTGATATTTTAATACAACAGGATTGATGCCATTAATACAAAACATATTAAAATATAGTGCTAACACATGGCACCCGGGTTTTATGGACAAATTATATGCAGGCACAAATCCTATCGGTATCATATCTGAAATATTGCTATCATTATTGAATGCAAATTCACACGTTTATCATGTTTCACCTGCACTTACAATGATCGAAAATACCGTTTCGCAAAGTTTGGCAAATTTATTAGGAATGGGAGAGGTAATTTTTGTTTATTGAAGTTTTAATAATAAATATGTTGTTCAAATAATACTTTATAAATTAGAAATCTGGAGGTATAACATGTCCGGGTGGTGCTTTTTCTAATCAACTTGCCATGATAACAGCACGAACTTTTATGTTTCCCGAGATTAAAACTAAAGGTTATCATGCTTTTAGAAAAAAATTGATGGTTTTCACTTCCATCGCTGGCCATTATTCGGTTGAAAAAACGGCTATGACGTTAGGTTTGGGTATCGATAGTGTGATTAAAGTATCATGTGATGATCAAGGAAGGATGAGGACCGATGAATTAGGTAATTATTTTATTAAAGTTTTAAAAGTTATCAAGTTAACGAAATTTTTTTATTTTATTAAAGAACATCTGATTAAACAATCTTTCCAACGAGGAGAAATGCCATTCTTCATTAATGCTACAGCCGGTACCACTGTTTTGGTGTGGATTAATTTAATTTATTTTTGATAATTGTTTAACGTAATTAAAACATCTAATGAATTGTTGAAAATTTAATCTAGGGGTCATTTGATCCATTATGTGAAATAGGAAAAATAGCTAAACGATATAATCTCTGGTTTCATGTTGATGGGTCTTGGGGTGGTAGTCTTGTATTTTCTGAAAAACATAAACATATGATAGAAGGCACTAACTTGGTATGTTCATTTTATCTCTTTTTTTTTTCACCGTCCAATTTATAAATGTTTAATATTTCTTCAATCAATATTTTATCTAAAACTGACTTTTTATTATTATTTCCCTCTAACAGGCCGATACGTTGGTATTAAACCCTCACAAAATGTTAGGCACACCATTACAATGTTCATTTTTGCTTGCAAGAGATAAAAAAATATTTTCACAATCAAATTCGTTAGAAGCTGAATATTTATTTCATCATGGGGAAGACGATCTAGGTGACAGCACAGTTGGATGCGGTCGTCGTCCAGATGCAGTAAAATTGTTTATAGGTTGGAAAATATATGGTGTACAAGGGTATCAGATACGAATCGAGCACGCATTTAAAATGGCTAAATATTTAACATTATTAGTAAGAAACAATCGTCGGTTTAAGTTAGTATTAGATGAACCGCCAAGTTTACAAGTTTGCTTTTGGTATTTGCCTATTGGGATCAACTTTGACTTAGAAAATAAAAGATCTATAGAGATGATATCGATTATTACCAAAGAGATACATAGAAGGATAATGTATCACGGAAAGTTTTTGTTTGATTATTCGCCATCTACTCTGGGTGGAAAAGAATTACCTTATTTTTTCAGAATTGCTTTGAATGCGCCTTCAATCTGTGAAAAACATTTAGAAAATTTGGTCAATGAAATTGAAAAGATGGGAGAGGGCATTTTAGAGTGGTTAGAAGAATTTGGAGATGTGATTAATGGTGAAAAGATGTCGTGTTATGTAATAGAGGAGGTGAACGGATTCGACCGATGACATAGAACTAAATATTATTAACTATATTTGAAAAGATTCTAATTAGAGTAATACACTAAATTTCTATTAAAAGGGGTATATAAATAGCATAATATTTAATTACAATAAAGTTCATATTTCATATAATTCACAATGGCATAATAATTTAATTAATGGTTAATTAATCTATATAAACTTTAACATTAATGATACGTGTACAGAGGAGCAAATATACATTACAGAGAATAACTTTTAGGATGGAAAATTTCAGCATTATTCTAATTTCATATTATAGAATATTATTATATTTTCAATTCACACACTTACTACGTAAAATAAGGAAAACGATATTTTATTCAAAC